GTCTTTGCACCTGTGATTTGTGATGGATGCCAAAGTGTTTCCATGGTACATAATAGTCTCTGAAGGTGTCAATTCAAGAAGTGCTGGAATCAGCTGCTAGAGAATGCTGATACAGATCAGAGGCACATATTTTTACATATTTGAAGGACAGTGAAATCTGTCATTTTAAATTATTTTTTATTTTAAATTAAAACAGCCTCTGCAAAGGTGTCAGAGGAAGGAAGGGTAGAGGCAGGGAATAATGTGCTTTAGACCTGCAGGAAGTGTGTGCAGGAAGTGGGAGTCTCCTTTTCATTTAAAACTCTTAGCCACTAATGCAGTGCATTTGTTAGTTTTCACTGCACTTCACATGACCTTTTCTGTTTCCTCCTCGCCAGTGCACCAAGGCTCCAGCCTCTCACTAGCATTTCATTATATAGGGTATGTCTGCACTGCATTCCTCTTTCAAGAGAGAATTGCAAATGCTGCTGAGCGAAATTGCAAATGAAGCGTGGATTTGAATTTCCCATGCTTCAGTTGCATAATCGCGTCCTGGCGCTATTTCAAAATACCCTAGTTCGAAAAAAGAAATGCTGTCTAGACACAGTTATTTTGAAAGAAAACCCTTCTTTCGAAATTACCCTTAACCCTCATTTTAGAAGGAGTAAGGGTAATTTCAAAAGAAGGGTTTTCTTTCTAAATAACCACGTTTCTTTTTTCAAAATAGGGTATTTCGAAATATCACCCAGATGCAATTATGCAAATGAAGCAGGGAAATTCAAATCCGCGCTTCATTTGCAATTTCGCTCAGCTGCACTTGCATTCCATTCTCGAAAGAGGAATGCAGTGTAGACATACCTGGAGAGTGTTAGGTAAAACAGTAAATTAAATAGACATTTGGTGCTGACATAGAATCAACTTCAGTTTTTCCAGGGAACAGCTGAAGTAACTCTCTGGGAGATGGTGAAGTTACTCTAGACTCACTGGCTACGTCTACACTGGCCCCTTTTCCGGAAGGGGCATGTAAATTTCAGCAGTCGTCGTAGGGAAATCCGCGGGGGATTTAAATATCCCCCGCGGCATTTAAATAAAAATGTCCGCCGCTTTTTTCCGGCTTTTAAAAAAGCCGGAAAAGAGCGTCTAGACTGGCCCCGATCCTCCGGAAAAAGCGCCCTTTTCCGGAGGCTCTTATTCCTACTTCAAAGGGCACTTTTTCTGGAGGATCGGGGCCAGTCTAGACGCTCTTTTCCGGCTTTTTTAAAAGCCGGAAAAAAGCGGCGGGCATTTTTATTTAAATGCCGCGGGGGATATTTAAATCCCCCGCGGATTTCCCTACGACGACTGCTGAAATTTACATGCCCCTTCCAGAAAAGGGGCCAGTGTAGACGTAGCCACTCTCTTGTAAATAAGAACAGTTTCAGACCCAAGGAAACCTGCAGTGGCAAAACCCTGAGCTACTGAAGGGAAGAGAATGCTGTATTTTACTTACTAAAAGTCCTCTGAGGTTACGTCTACACTGCAGCACTATTTCGGGATACAGGACAGATCCCAAAATAGCTCTCCCGTGTCTTAACAGCAAGCCCATTATTTCAAAATACAACGGGGCTCGCTATTCTGATGTCCCTGTAAACCTCGTTTCACAAGGAGTAAGAGGCATTTTGGAATAGCGGGTTATTTTGTAATTTGGCACTATGCAGAGAGCACAAAATTATTAAATAAGCTATTTTGAAATTGACTCGAAATAAGCTATGCGTTTGTGTAGCTCAACTTGCGTAGTTTATTTTGAGCTTTGGGTGCAGTGTAGACTAATAGCCCAAGCAACAGCTCTGAGAGGAGTCGAAGTTATTTGTCATGTTGGACTGCAAAGATGGGATGAGATGTAAAGAAAGAAGCAAAAGGAGGGATCCTGAGGCTCTTGTGTGGAGACAGAGGACCACTCCTGTTGGATGTTTTTTGTTTTGATGGCTTGTGCCTGTGTAATAATCCTTGTTTTATAATGAAGTTATTATATTCCTAAATGGGGGAGTGTTTTTGATGAAGGGGGTTTTATTTCCTATCAAGGCATTTCTGCAATGAGGGTGGTGTTATTCTCAGCTTTGGCCCACATTTAGTCCATCCTGCAGCGGAAAAGGGCTAGAAACTAAGCTTTAAAAGAATGAAAGCTAAGCTACTCTGAGGCCTTGTGTACCTGCAATAACTCTACTTTTGGGTGGGAGAAACTACCAATTTTTAAAATTCTCTGGCATCTAATCCCACACTTACTATTCTGCTTTGGACATGAAATACCACTAGTCCGGAATGAGTGTTTTTAATGTAAGGTTCCTGGGGACACATCTGTATTTTGGATTAACTGTTTCACTACTGGCAATCCTCCCACTGCTATCGAAACAGCATCGCTTCACATCTGGATCCGCCTTGCTGATGCGCCCGCTACTGTTCTGGGGTCATTTTGGATGGATGTCACCTTTTAAATGTTGGAACTCAGGCAAGGGCATTCCTTTACTGACCTCGCCACTCCCTTGGTGAGTTCACACACCTGGAGACGCATACCCAACATAGCAGCCATGCCCTGTGCTTCCTCATATTCCCATCTGGCAGTTCTGGACTTATTTGCCTTCTGACAAGAAGAGGTCATCCAGGCCCATTTGAATAGCAGTCACTGGAGGAACAGAGAAACAAATACAGGAGAAGGGGTAGTCCTGGAATACAGATCAGTGCTGCTACAAAACAAAGGAACTCTGCAAAGAGACACAAATAGGACCTGTCCATACTACGAGGAGCTGGACTAACTTGTTTTAAGAGAGATCACCACCAAATGCTAGCCTGGGGAGGGAGGCCTTAGATGTCACTGTAACAGCTGCTCATGGCTCCCAAGTGATCACAGAAGTCCTAAACAAGGCAGTGTGCAGACTCTTATCTCCATAGTTACTCTGCATCTGCTCTAGCAGTAAAACATAGTTGGAAAAATATTTCTTATGTAGACAAGATGTCAGATTTCCAGTTCCCCCACATTTGAAGGCGTTTTCAGCCACAGATTTCACAGACCTAAAGGCTAGCTTGGCACAGTGAATTTCCAATGTTACCCAGGCAATTTTCCTGAAACTGGTGGCTGAGGAAATCATAACACACTGAACAGAACTCTCCTGGCCCAAGGAAAATAGTTTTTTGTTTCTGAGCTAATTATTTACTCATTAAAAGCAATTTACTAAGAAAAAATCTACTAAAGCAGACCTCTGTTCTCTTACCTGGACAACAGCACATTATTGTTAGAACACATCCTTTTAAAAACGTCAATATCCAGCTAAGGAAACTTCCTGGATAGAGCCCCTAGCCTCCTTTTCTCCCTGGTGGAATTTCAGAGCTTAATAAGATACTTTGGCAATAGGATCATAGCACTTCCTGCTTCTAGTTCCATCCAAAAATCTGTTACCGCATCCTTGACCTGAGCACTCTGGAAAGAGATTAAGGGGACTGACTCTGCCTTTCCCCAACTGACCGTGTTGTGGGGTTTACACAATACACCTGCCATCTGCAGTGTTCTTCACACTGATTACACATGACTGTAGGCCAAGCCCTGATCTGCACATAAGTTTTTTTTTCTCCACCACATCAGTAGGAAGGAAAGCCTTGTGTTGAAAGGCCCGTACTGGGAGCTGGGAGGGCTGGGTTCAGTTCTTGCTACAGACTTTGTCTGTGATACCTTACGGGTTGTCCATTAATTATGTAATTTGTTTTGGTGACTTTTTAAGATCCACCTCCCCTCCTTGTAATGCTGGAACAAACACACAGATTAATGACTCCTGTTGAGTTATGTAATTTACAGACAGCCTCTTGTGCAAGTCACTGAATTTCTCTGTGCCCTCAGCTCCTCATCTGTGAAATGGGCATCATGAAAGATTCCCTTCCTCCAGCCTTTGTCTGTCCAGTCTGTTCAGATTGTATGTGCCTCAGGGAAGGAACTATCTCTGCCTATGTATTGGTCAAGTGGGTTTGTAGTCTGGGTTTGGATCTCCCAGGCATGGCTATGATAGAATAATAGGAGTCTGCTGTTAACATTTTGCAGACAGAGTCCAGCCAGTGAGAATGGATAAGTGACTGTAAAGCTTGGAATGCATTATACAAATATTTAAAATTCCGAGTCCCTAATGTTCCTACCTGATGCCTGGGAGATTACTTGCTGCATGTTGACTTACCTCGATAAATATTTTCTCGACTCATAGTTGCCAGCCCTGTAATCTTCTTAGACAAGCTCGCCACCAAGAAGAAGATAGCAGATGATCGTGTAGCAACAGCTGAAATATTATGTGACTACATTTGCAGGAATCAAGAATATTTTCATGCTGGGATGGTATCACACACATTTAAACCCACTCACACACAGCAAGACAGCACCTGTACACACAGTCACTTACGTTCATGCTCACCAACTGATTCACAGAGAGTCACACCATGGAGATATCTATACTGCACATGCATATGTCTGCATTTAGATATTCAGATGCAGTCGGTCACTTACACATGTCGCTGCACTTTGCACATCTATAGGGAAGAGCACGTGTTCAGATCTGGAAAGCTGAGATAAGCCTGTGTGGGCAGTGGGGCCAGTGAATACCTCACAATAGGCTGGTGATCACATGTCTTTGAACAGCTGAGCTCTGCAAATTCAGGCCCCTTTCTTCCTCTATGCAGCCTGTGGCATAGCAGCTATTCAGAAGAGAAATTCTCTGCTTTTTAAGTATCTCCCTTATAGAGTTTACTGGCCTGCAGACTCATCATCTGAGCAATATGCAAACGTTCGGAGTCTAGCTAGACCCCTCTCTAAAGCTGTCACTTCTCAGATGAGCTGAAGACAGGTTGCACTTCAGCACAAAGAGTTTTAATATAGGGCAATATCAGCATTCCTGAGAGGTGCAGCCAAGTTCATGGTATGTGACAGGGCAGCTCAGAATGGTAAACAGGGCTGAAACTCTCCTGAGCCAGTGTGCATTGTATTTATTTGCTGATTTGTTTCCCTTGCTAAGGAGCAGAGCCAGAAATGGATGACTGCCTGGAGATGCTGAAGGATGAGGAGGAAGCCCTGTGGGAGAATGTAGAGTGCAATCGGCACATGCTGAGCCGGTACATCAATCCAGCCAAGTTGACCCCCTATCTGCGTCAGTGTAAAGTCATCGATGAGCAAGATGAGGACGAGGTGCTCAACTCGCACATGCTGCTCTCCAAAATTAACCGAGCAGGTAATTTTCTCCAGAACGACCAAGACCAGTGTTCCCTGTAAGCTGTGCACTTGTGCAGCTGCTCAGGAGAGATCCAGATGTTGCCCAGCTGATTAGCAGAGCGCCCATAGCTAGTTTTATTTCTACTGGTGATGCACATTCGCATATGCCTTGGTGCACATAAAAATTATTCTGCACATGAATGGAAAAAATCTGGCCATGGATTGAAAAGATTAGAGGGAACATTGGCCAAGACTGCACCAGTTTATGTGCTGCACGGCCTGGATTGGCTTTGACCTGACCCCAGCATTGGATTAAAATCTAGGAAGGGCTCTCTATTCCCTGTCAGTTAAATATTTGGGGAAGAATTGGATGTTCATGAAAATGAAGAGCTGTTTGGTAATAGTGACTAGCCAAGCCAGTGTTGTACAGGATGGCACTCACCAAACTTTCATTCCTACATATCTTTGCCAGTGTATTTCAGTTATGATAGGCAGCAACCACTGCTTTTTCATGCCTGGTAACCACATATCTGATGCTGGTCAGCAATCCACTTTGATTTGAGAAACATGTTATGGTATTTCCGTACTGTGCAACATGGGCAGTATTGAATAGCACTGTCTTTTGAAGGCTCAAATACAACTGCTACCTTCCCATACCACATTCCTGTAGAGTAACAGCCCATACAGACATGGAGAATGCATAACATAGCTTCATGAGATCAGCTGCACCCCTGGCTTTTCTACAGTGTATTTATGTGCCAGCAACAGTTAAATCTGGAGCAGGGTTAGCCTCAGAGTTATAGTATCTGATTATTCTATTCTCAATTTTCCGGTCTCCTCTCTTAATGCACTATTTTTGGGTTGTCCCTAGGCCGACTGTTGGACATCCTTCATACCAAGGGGCAAAGGGGCTATGTAGTTTTCTTAGAGAGCCTGGAGTTTTACTATCCTGAACTCTACAAACTGGTGACGGGGAAGGAGCCCACACGGAGATTTTCTACCATTGTCGGTGAGTAGGATTCGTCCTGGAGGAAATAAGGGTTGTTGTCAAGACACAAGATAAGACTCTGGTTTTCTTTTTCAGATGAGGAGTCTAAATGGACTTTGTAAGTGGTAGTAACTCATTCCCACTCTCTTGCTCTCTGGTCTTGTATGGCCTGCCATTAGGCCTGCCAGTGGAGTAGGGGGAGGGGAAAAGGGCAACTGCCCGGAGCCCTTTAAATTGTCACTGGAATCCTGCATGGTGTGCTGAGAGCTGCCTAGTGGAGGCTAGCCCCCAGTCCCGCCCCTTCTGCCTCAGGCTCCGCCCCTTCCAAGGACACAGCGCCACACACACACCCTTCTTGCCTTGGGGCCTAGTGAGTCTGTAAGGCCCCCTGCCTACTGTTGATAAAACTGTTGGTGGAAGCAACACCCCTGATTGTTGGAGTGAGGCTGAAGATCTCAAGTAGGAGTGCTACCCGGTCTGCTCACCTTTTTAGAACGGTTGACAATACAAGGTGCTCAAGGAAAGAGATTGGGGATCAGATTCTCAGTTACACTGGTGTGAGTCTGGGGTAGTTCTGTTAAAATAAACAAAGGTACTCTGGATTTGCACCAGGGTAACTGAAGTCAAAATCTGGCCCAATGGGTGCCTATGGACCTGCTGCACCAAGTTCAAAAAATGGTGAATGTATTATATGTGAATTCACCATGATTGTCTACATGCTTGTGTATTAGAGTATGAGTGTAGATATGCATTGCATATGTCTGTATGTAGTATGAACATGTGCATGCATGAATATGAAGATATTTATGTGTCTGTGCATAGTGACTCTGTATATGATGGGGTACATACATGTATGACATCATATTTATGTGTGTGCTAGTGAGTTTGACTCTGTGTGTACACGTGTGTTTGATCCTCACTTCTGCTGTCCTGTCATTGACTGAACCCACGTTACTGCTAACCAGCTCCAGCAATGTGCAGTGGATGTTGGAGCTGATGGCCTGTTTGATTCTTTTCAGTGGAGGAAGGACATGAGGGCCTCACCCATTTCCTAATGAATGAAATCATTAAGCTACAGCAGCAGGTGAAGACAAAGGATGTACAGCGCTGTGAACTCTTGGCCAAGTCCCGCCAACTGGAGGATGAGAGGAAGCAGCTGAAATTGAACAAAATAGAGTTGCTGACCTTCCAGGAGAGATACAACAAGATGAAGGAGGAAAGGAACAATTACAATGATGAGCTGATCAAGGTGAAGGATGAGAACTACAACCTGGCCATGAGATACGCCCAGCTGAGCGAAGAGAAGAACATGGCTGTGATGAGGAGCCGGGACCTCCAGCTAGAGGTAAAAGAGATGCTCTGGATTTGATTGGATAGAAATCGCGGATGGAGAGTGGCAGTTGGCTCAGTGGTATTTTCAAGGATGAGAAGAACTTGTACTTGCTTTCCTTACCCTGGTTAAAGGCTCATGGCGTCATGAAATGTATGCTGAGGTGATGGGTAACAGCGTAAGATTCCTTGGGATGGGTGGCACTTCCCTGCCGATGGATGGAAGAAAAACACATTTTTTTCGGTATCAATAATATATTGGGAGATTTGGGACAGTCACCCACGCTGGCACTAAAGTTTCATGGTGGATAATCCAAGGGGTTCTGCATACCATGCTAGGACAATATTAAGGTGTTTTAAGCTTTAAAAGTGTATACCAGAGGCTTCATGTATTTTGGATAACCCTTTTTTTCCTGTGCTTCTTTCTGCTTTTCATTGGTTCCTGGGATGTCCTAGATTGACCAGCTGAAGCATCGGTTAAATAAGATGGAGGAGGAATGTAAACTGGAGAGGAACCAGTCACTGAAGCTAAAGAATGACATTGAAAACCGACCCAAGAAAGAACAAGTTCTAGTACCAGAGGCTTCATGTATTTTGGATAACCCTTTTTTTCCTGTGCTTCTTTCTGCTTTTCATTGGTTCCTGGGATGTCCTAGATTGACCAGCTGAAGCATCGGTTAAATAAGATGGAGGAGGAATGTAAACTGGAGAGGAACCAGTCACTGAAGCTAAAGAATGACATTGAAAACCGACCCAAGAAAGAACAAGTTCTAGAATTGGAGCGGGAGAATGAGATGATGAAGACCAAAATCCAAGAGTTACAGTCCATCATCCAGGTAAGCCAGAGGAGGCATTATGCCCCATACTTTTACTCCCTGCCTTGAAATCAGTATGCAGGTAGGAAATGTGGGGGAAGCTGTGCTTCCAATGTCCACCAACTGGGGGGCAGGGCACAGCTACTCTGGGTTGTGACAATTTAAAAGGGGTTGGGGCTCCTAGCCACCACCACTGCAGTGGAAGCTGGAGCCCTGGGTCCTTTAAATCACTGCTGGAACCCCATGCAGCATGCCTAGGCAGAGCTGAGAGCTGCAGGGAGGGAGAGCTCAGTGCAATACAATCCGGGCGGCGCTGCGGGCTGGCTGCCCCTAGATCCACCACTTCCATCTGAGACCCCACCTCTTCTATGAGTGTGGAGCACAACCCCAACCCACCTTGCCCAGGGGCCCAGACAGTCTGTCAGCTCCCATGTGTCCCCAGAATTACAACGAATAGCCAAAAGCTTGTACAGCCTTGCAAGGCACAGAGTGTCTGCTATGAGGTGCTGAGGTCCCTCAATTCCTATTTAAATTAATGAGCCAAATCCTGGCTCTTCGGGTATGTCTACAATGCATTCCTCTTTCGAGAGAGAAATGCAAATGCAGGCGAGCGAAATTGCAAAGAAGCGCGGATTTGAATTTTCCGCGCTTCATTTGCATAATCGCAGCTGGCCACTTTTTCGAAATACCCTATTCCGAGATAAGAAATGCCGTGTAGATGCGGTTATTTCGAGAAAAAACCCTTCTTTCGAAATAACCCTTAAACCTCATTTTATAAGGAGTAAGGGTTATTTCGAAAGAAGGGTTTTTTCTCAAAATAACCGTGTCTACATGGCATTTCTTATCTCGGAACAGGGTATCGCGAAAAAGCGGCTGGCCGCAAAGGAAAATTAAAATCCGCGCTTCATTTGCAATTTCGCTCGCCTGCATTTGCATTCCTCTTTTGAAAGAGGAATGCAGGGTAGACATACCCTTCTGGAGGAGTTTTGCCCTAACTCACCAATGCAAAACCACCTTAGCTAGCTACCCTAGATTCTCCTGGTGTAAGTTCTGCATGATCAGTTCTGTGCCATCACCCAGCCTCGGTAAGGAACCTGGCTGGGGACAGGAGGCCTAGTCAGACTGTTTCTCTGCTCCACCAGTCATAAGCTACTGAGATGACCTCCTTTTCTGTTATTACAGAAAACTGCTCTAACTTGCCCTGGGGGCTTCTACCAGCTCCAGGTTTGGGATAAATGGAGATACAAAAGGAGGGCACAGCCACCTTAGCCCCCCTTTCAGGGGATATTCTAAGCAGGGGTTGGGCCAGACCTGAAGATCTATCTCAATGTGAGGCTGCTTAGCACCTTGCAAGGCAAAGACTTTCCTTTTTAGAATGACACCATTTAAAGATTCGCAACACATGCTTATGCCAGAGCACATCTGTAGCCTCTCTGGGAGTGCCTAAAAAACCTCAGGGCTTGCTTATATGTAAATCACCGCGTCACTGTAGTGCTTCACTACATGGGCACTGCCTACACTACGTGGGCACTCCACCTCTCGGGGTGGCTGCACGTTGTCACCACATCCAAAATGTATCATTTGATATCAGCTCCAATAGAAACAACCCCACCTCTAGAGCAATTCTGACAGTGAGAGGTGCTTTCTTCAGCTTTCAAAATATTCACAAATATCCCTCCCTTCTCCTACATTCCCACTGCAATTCTTCCATCAACCTAGCACAGTTTACACTGGGAATTATGTCAGTTTAACTGTGTCATTCAGGAGTGTGGATTTTTCACATTTCGAGTGACCTGGTTTTACTCATCTAATTTCCTAGTGTAGACTAGGCCTTAGTTTTCTACAAGAAATCTTTAAAAGGCATCATATATAAAATTACTTTGATATATAATCTAATCCCAAAGACTCGTGTGCTATGATAATTACTATGACACACAAGGAAATAATGAAATAATCACCAAAAAATATCCACCTTAAAATGGAAACAAAATGTTCTAAAAATAACAAAAACGCTCCTTATTTTAGAAATATTTTTATTCAGTAACCACAAGGTCAATGAACTCAGCAACTTAGTACAAGTATTTTTAAAACTAAATTTGCATTTTCTTGCTTAAGGTTTTTTACTTTGATTCCTGGTTTAAGTGGTTACTTTTGGGTGCAATTTATTTCTCCCACAGTGATCTTGTTAAAATGAATTCCTAAAGAGGAAAAAAGTTTCTGGACATTGTAGAAAAGGAAGTATTAGTTCTAGACAGGGACATTGGTGACTCTAGGCTGTGTTTAATATTCATTAAGCATAGTCATGCAAAGTCTGCATGTTTTAAAAATTCCTCTGCATGTTTTCTTGGGCCATGCTCCTTGGCAAAGGGCAAATTCTGTGCTCAGTGTGGGCTGAATAATAGAGAGAGGTTTTGAATGCTGGGCCTATAGCAGAGGAGTGGATGCTCATTGTCATTGCATTGAAAATGTACCATATCAGATCCAATAAAAACAACCCCGTCTCTAGAGCCATTCTGACAGTGAGAGGTGCTTTCTTCGGCTTTCAGAATATTCACAAATATCCCTCCCTTCTCCTACTTTCCCATTGCAATCCCATGCTCATTTCCTCTTTTTTTCTTCTATTGCCTGTCTATTTCTTTTCTTCTCCTCAATCCTCTGTTTCTTTCTTTCTCATCCTGTCCTATATCTTTAAACCTTGTCTCCTCAGGCTGGCAAACGTAGCTTGCCAGATTCGGACAAAGCCATCTTGGATATCTTGGAGCATGACCGCAAAGAGGCACTAGAGGACCGCCAGGAGCTGGTTAACAAGATCTTTAATCTCCAGGAGGAGATCCGTCATGTGGAGGATCTGAGAGACAAGGTGAGAAAAAGATAGGACAGAAAGAGTGGGATTCAAGCACCTTGTCTTTCAGGGATTTCTGATTGACATGGCCAGTGATACCTGTAGCTGGCAGCTGATGGAGAAGTGAAGTAGCAATTTAGTTCAGTCCTTACTTCTCATCCTGAGCTGTTCACATGAATCTGTCAAGGGTTATCTGGACAGGGCAGGCCAATTATTTTAAACCAATGAATTTTCACATAGACGACATTCCCTGCTGTGAGGAAATTTACAACAAGACCCCCATCTGCATAAACTTGGACAGCAGCTGTCTGAGCTTCCTCACAGCCCAGCCTTTTCAGCACAGGGCAACACTCTAACCCTATGTTTCTATGTGAGCAAATGCAGGGATTAGCGGTGCACAGGAATCTCCTCCATGCAACAGGGTGGACCTCCCCATCACTTTGATGTACTGCTTCTATTGATTAGTCTGTTTCATTTGCAGTATCTTGAGGAGAAAGAAGACCTGGAATTAAAGTGCTCAACTCTGGGGAAAGACTGTGAGATGTACAAGCACCGTATGACTACTGTGATGATACAGCTTGAGGAGGTGGAGAAGGAGCGAGACCAGGTAGATCGCATGTAGAGGGCAGGGTAATAACAATGAGAAATTGGATCTTCCTTTTTCTGCTTCTGTTGGGAGCCGCCCCTAGGAATTGAGGGTAATTGGACCAAAAGTGTCACTGCATTTGTTATATATAGAAGTTGCCATTAAGAAAAGTAAACAGTTGCTAGATAGTGGCATTTGCAATGATGCTGTTATCAACTAGACTAAGCAGAGGGAAATACTTCCGGATTCTGTGGCCGCTGCCACCGGGTGCTGATTTGTAATGGCAACATAGTAGGCTGCTTAGTGTCAAGGTTTTCAGCTTGTACCCGGCAACATTTTAGTGATAGTGCACAGAGATTCCAAACCTCATGCTAGGACCTGTACCAACAAAGAGTAAGAGACAGTCTCTGTTGCATAGACTATACCATGCCTTCCTCTGCAGGCATTCCATTCCCGAGATGAGGCACAGACGCATTACTCACAGTGCCTGATTGAGAAGGACAAGTACAGGAAGCAGATCCGGGAGCTGGAGGAGAAGAACGATGAGCTGCGGATCGAGGCAGTCCGGAAAGAGGCTTGCATTGTTAACCTGGAGTGCAAACTCCGACGACTCTCTAAGGAAAACTGTCATGACCAGGTAGGGCCAGGAAAGATTAGCTGTGCTCTCTTCCTTTCATGGCTCTGCCTCAGTTACACAATGATGTAGAGAAGGAGGGGGGATTTCTAGCCTGAAAAAAAGTAGAGGGAAGTTTCTCTTCTATTCAACTTCAATGCTGTGAGAAGCACTCCAAGAGCATTGTCTCTCAGAGACGGGCAGTTGACTTCTGCTGAGCCCTGATACTAAATGAAAGAAGAGGAAATACGGAGGGTGAGTTGTTTGCATACTGGGGAAGATTCTGAGGCAAGGGCACCATTTCAGGAGAGCAGGGGGAACAGCAGCCTTGCGTACCAAGCCGTGGCTTGCTTTTCTTCCTGCTCCCTTGACTATCAGGGAGCGAGGGGAAAGTACTTGGATTCCGTGCATGCTTCTCACTCCTGGCTGGTGAACGGAGGGGACAGAGGAGTAAATCACAGAATCCAAGTACTTTCCCCTCGCTCTCTGATAGTTAGGGGAACAGGAAGAAAAGTGAGCTGCGTCCCAGTATGCATGCTTCCTGCCCCCAGCTCTCCCAAAATGGCACCCTTATTCTGAGGAGTTTATTCCAATGAAGTTTGCAAAAAGGAAAACTGATAGTGGGCCATGAACTAAAGTTAAAGATGGCCTGAAATTTTTGTGAATTTTAGTTTCCATCTCTAGTTTAAAACCTGAACCACAGTCTGTTTGGTCCACAGTCAGCAGCTAAGCCACTTGAATTACGGGTATGTGACTTGAACACCATAACAACTTAACATGCAGATCTCTCTTGGCCCACAGGCAGTCCTGCCAGATGTACTAGAGGGTGGCCACCAGAAAAGCTTTCGGCAGTAGCCTTCAGCAAAAGGTCACTAACATCTCTCCTTATCTCTAGAGTTTACCAAGGAATCTGCCAGTTACTATTATTTCCCAGACCTTTGGAGCTCCTAGCCCCAAAGCCAATGGTCAGGAAGCAGATGACTCCTCCACCTCTGAAGAGTCACCAGATGACAATAAATTCTTCCTCCTTGATCAGTCTCGACTTAAGAGAAGAATGAACCTGAAGGGAATCCAGGTGAGTCCCAATCCAAGGCCTGAACTGTGTAGTTCAGATGGGTTATGGAGGAGATACAGTCAGGCTTTGTCAAGGAGACGCAATCAGACTTTGCAACCATTGCTGCTTCCTTTTTCACCTCCCCTTTGCACACCATACTTTTGCTGCTTGTTTATATTCTCACTGTGGCTTCAATAAAATGGTTCTTGCCTTCTTAATAGTAGTGAAAAAGTGTCTTGAAAATTGGTATAATGCCCTAAAACCTAGCACGTGTGGAATGACTTATAGAAAATGCAACTGTGATGGAAAAGCATCACCTGGAAGGAACTATAGGAAGATATAAACAAAGTCTGGAGCAGAATTAGGTACCTAATTCAAAACTACATGAAGCATCTATTCCTTCCACGATGGAGGTCCTTGACTTCCTTCACTGCTGGCTTGACTGTTGCTGCCCCGGCATTCATGAATTGTAAAAACCTACAGTCTAAGGGAATGGATGAGCTGTTCTTTCTGTGTGTCCCATCTGAATTCTCTCTGCCCTTCCCAACCTTTCTGAGTTCTGACTGTCTTTATTGCCAGAAGCAGTAGAGGTCCATTTTTAACTTTTACCTGGCGAAGGAAGGTTTCTTGTATGAGCAGCCTGTTGAAACCAGTCATGAGAGACCCACTTCATCTTTTGTCATTCCCTCTGCGGAATATAGGAACTACAATGCCTTTGGTGTTTAAATAACTCTTCTCCGGGGCCTGTTTGATGAGGGCACGTAGGTTCTGCAGTGTGACAGTGGGGAAGCAGGGCGGGGGGGAGGTGTCTGTTTTACAGTGAATGTGACACATACCCTGAGTTTGGCTTGATTTCTGTCCTCTTTCTTTCAGCTGCCACGAGCTAAATCCCCCATCAATACAAGCAAAGCATCTGATTTTCAAGGTCAGAGAAAATACTGGTGTCCCTATTGCCTGTCTCAGTCTGTCTCATCTAGTCTATCTGCATCAGTTATTCTAACTAAAATGCCAACAGGGTGAACTCAGAACTAAATGTGATATTTCAGCCACAGTCTTCTTTTGCAGTAAATAATGTTAATCATCATTTCAAATTGATGAGAGGCTGTCTGATCATTCTTTCCATCCACGACCCCTTTTCAGGCTCCTATATCCATCCCATAGATAGTTTTAGCTTTCTAGTTACTTTTAAGTTGCATCTTTTATCTGATTATAATTTAAAATGGGACAAAATTAGATCTACCTTAAATATCATAACAGTCTTCTGTCTCTGAATATTGGGGGAATCTTTGATTGGAAAGGGTCCCAGTCTAGTGGGTGATGTAAAAAGTTTTCTTGTCTGTTGGCAGGCTGGATTCTGTTTTTAACTCCTATCCCCTACTGCTATTTATTTTTACACATCCATCAGTTAGCCAGAGTCTCACCAAATTGCCATGTCCCATCCTTGTTGTCTGAATTTTCCTAGTGCCCTGCAAATAACTAACAGATATTTTACAAAAAGAAATAATTTGAGCAGGGAGTACATGCATTATTTGTTGCGTGCAGACAGCAGGCTCAGTGTTATACAAAGGGTAGAGGAAGACATGGTCACTGCTCAATGGAGGCTACATATTAAGCAAAGACTCAGTAGACTCATCAACAATTTAGATATTGGCATAGAGAGTATACTTATTAAGTTTGCAGATGATACCAAGCTGGGAGGGGTTGCAACTGCTTTGGAGGATAGAGTCATAATTCAAAATGATCTGGAAAAATTGGAGAAATAGTCTGAGATAAACAGGATGAAGTTTAATAAGGACAAATGCAAAGTGCTCCACTTAGGAAGGAACAATCAGTTTCACACATACAGAATGGGAAGCAACTGTCTAGGAAGGAATACGGCAGAAAGGGATCTAGGGGTTGTAGTGGACCACAAGCTAAATATGAGTCAACAGTGGGACGCTGTTGCAAAAAAACCAAACATGATTCTAGGATGCATTAACAGGTGTGTTGTGAGCAAGACATGAGAAGTCATTCTTCCACTCTACTCTGTGCTGATTAGACCTCAGTGGGAGTATTGCGTCCAATTCTGGGAATCTCATTTCAAAAAAGGTGTGGAGAAACTGGAGAGGGTCCAGAGAAGAGCAACAAGAATGATTAAAGGTCTAGAGAACATGACCTATGAAGGAAGACTGAAAGAATTGGGCTTGTATAGTTTAGAAAAGAGAAGATTGAGAGGGGACATGATAGTGGTTTTCAAGTATCTAAAAGGTTGTTACAAGGAGGAGGGAGAAAACTTGTTTATCTTGGCCTCTGAGGATGGAATAAGAAGAAATGGGCTTAAACTGCAGCAAGAGAGGTTTAGGCTGGACATTAGGAAAAACTTCCAAACTGTCAGGGTGGTTAAACACTGGAATAAATTGCCTAGGGAGGTTGTTGAATCTCCATCCCCGGAGATATTTAAGAGCAGGTTAGATAAATGTCTCTCAGGGATGGTCTAGACAGTACTGGGTCCTGCCATGAGGGCAGGGGACTGGCCTCAATGACCTCTCAGGGTCCCTTCCAGTCCAAGTATTCTATGATTCTATGATAGAATTCAGCTACACAGTATGTTCCGTAAGCGCATTTCCGCTGATGGAGCACAGATGACTCATAGAATCATAGAATATTAGAACTGCAAGGGACCTCGAGAGGTCATCGAGTCTGGTCCTCTGCCCTCATGGCAGGACCAAATTACTGTCTAGACCATCCCCGATAGACATTTATCTAACCTACTCTTAAATATCTCCAGAGATGGAGATTCAACAACCTCCCTAGGCAATTTATTCCAATGTTTAACCACTCCCTCCTCCTTGTAACAACCTTTCCTAATGTCCAACCGAAACCTCCCTTGCTGCAGTTTAAGCCCATTTCTTCTTATTCCATCCTCAGAGGCCAAGATAAACAAGTTTTCTCCCTCCTCCTCATGACATCCTTTTAGATACCTGAAAACAGCTATCATGTCCCCCCTCAGTCTTCTCTTTTCTAAACTAAACAAACCCAATTCTTTCAGCCTTCCCTCATAGCTCATGTTCTCTAGACCTTTAATCATTCTTGTTGCTCTTCTCTGGACCTTCTCCAATTACTCATGTCGGCTCATTTCTTTAACTGATGGATTAATGTTCATGAACCTCACAGAGGAATGTGGTTTAAAGGGGGGGCCTGCTGACAAGGAAGGGCAAAGGGGGAAGTTGCCCCAGGACCCAGTGCTTCAAAAGAGCCAGGACTCCCAGCTGCTACCTCCGCTATGACCAGAACCCAGGCCCTTTAAATCATGCTGGAGCACACGCTCTGGGCTGCTCTCAGAGCTGGGTGTGGAGGAGAGAAAGGCAGCATGGTGCACTCCAGGGGACTTTGAGGGCCGGCTGCCCTATCCTACCCCTTCTGGGAGCACGGAGCCAGGCCCCCCACACCTGGCCCAGGAGCCCAGCAAGTCTGTTGGCCCCCTTGCTTTGAATGAGGGG